AGGCACTGTCTAGGGGCATCAACAAGAGGGTTGCCTGCGGCAAGAAGCGGCCACCCAACATGTTTAACCAAGAATCCTTTTAAAGGTGCCGCTCTATTTTGCCAAATACTGGAGGTTGAAGACACCCAAGTCCTTGCTTTCCCCACATTTATGTGTGTTTTTATTCAGGTCTTACTTATTTTAGTTTGCTCATTTATATTCCTTGTCTCTTCCAAAAACCTCAGAGCAGCTTGCAATAATGTGTGTGCGTTTGGGAGGGAATCCTCTCTGCATTCACTGTAGGAAGAGACTATAATTTGCCATATAGTTTGCCCTCTGTGTTAGCTGTAGCATTAAAGAAAGGCGTACTAATTTAATTCGGCCTGTATTTGCTAGTGCCAAAGCACTGGAGCACGGTGCAGACTTCAGGAATTGTTGGCTTTGCTTACATTCATCTTGCAATAGGGAGATTACATTTTAATCCTCTGTTAAACTTTTAAACAGCTTTTTTGATGTTGGATCCCCATGTTTTAAGTGTGTGTGGTTGTTTTTTTCAGAGGCCAGTGCTAGTGAGGTTTTTCTCCTGATTGTTTTGTGCAGGAAATAGGTCTGTCAGTCTGTCCTAAAATCTGTTGCATTTACCTGCTTTGGGCTCCTTGAACAATCTTTGAATGAATGTGCTCCGTGGAGGCATCACACGGTTGGTAGTCTTCTCACAAATGAATGAAGGCTCACTTCTGTAGTAGCAACTTCTCACCAGTTGTACAACAGAGACAAATACATTGTGGATTTGTTTGTCTGTGTCTGAAAACATTTGCACCTAGTGTACTTTTGGAAGTATCTCTTGAAGGGTTTTAGGAAATGATACTTTGAGACATTCAGAAGTCTAGTTTAGATCACATGTCAATTTGGCAGTCTCTTGTGTAAACTCTTTGCATGCCAATTGTGTCTCTCACATTTCTAGTTTGTAAATCATTGTTTGCTGGGCCAGCCACAATTAACAATCATGGTATGCCTCTCAAGCCAGAATAGGCTGCAGTCCAATTCATACTGTAATTTTTAATTTGGCGTTGGAAGCATAGAATACTAGGTATAGCCTTATTTTGATACCAGGCCAAATGATGGTTACCCCACTGTAAGAGGTCCAGGGCTGGAGAAGGAGAGTACTGGAGTCCGCAACAGAGTGACTGATGGCCAAAGCATGCTTTGATTACCTGAAACAGGTGTCCAAGTAACAGAAAAGTTGCTTTTCTGCACAGCTCCACCCAGAGATACTTATCTCTTATCTCCACCCAAAGATAAGAGAATGGTTTCTTATTCCACAGAGCAGTGGAACTGAGGATTGATTGGATTGTCAGCCCATTAAAAGTCTCAAGTAGCTGTGCTTAGGAGCTTGCTTTAAATGGGAGAATTTCATGATGTTGGTGACAATGTACGTCTCAACCTTTGGCCCAGATTGTTCCCTCCAGGCAACTTAAAACATGCAACAAGAATAGTTAAACTCGAAAACAATCCAAAACCTTTAAAAAACCGTAAAGCAGTAATAACTGCACAGCAGAGACAATGAGATTGCAGACTCTTCTGGGCTTAGTGGCACTGGATCGCTTAGCAAAGCAGAAGCAGTGTAGTGGCAAGGGAACCAACAACTTGCCTAGCTCTCAGTTGCACGGAAGGAACCCATGGTTAAGCGATCACGGGTGTTTAATCATCCGAACTGGGTCAGTATGTTTCAGAAGATTTGCACTCTAAACCAAGAGCTGTTTCTGTTTTAAATTATGCAAGGATGTAACTATATATTAGGAATTGGCTCTCGGACAGGGATAAATTCTGCATCATCTGGAAGATGCCTGAATGTACTCTTAGCTTAGCATGCAGCCTCCAGCCAATAAGTGAAATCCATGAACGCATGCTTTTTCTCTTAAGGATGCTTGCGTGATCGAATGTGCGCTGCACCACCTCCACCACAGGTGTCCAGGTGCGTTCAGGCGCTGGCTGGTGGGAGCGCAACAGGTCTGAATCATTTGCTGTTGGGATTGCAAGCTGACTGCTAAAATAGCTCACGCTTCCTTGCTTTCTGGAGTACCTCTAGTGACATTGTATAAAAGTAGGTCACTGGTACAGTTTATGGAATTTGTCATAAAACATTAACGACGGGAATGCTTACGCTGGTATTAACTTTACAGAAATAAAGTGCTTAATCATGAGGCAGAAGTAGGAGCATCTGGAACTTCTCAGCAGTTTTTAACTTCGCCATGGCGCTCCTTCCTTGTTTGCTGTTTACATGGCAACTAGGGTATGCTGATCCCTTCCCAAAACTGTTCCAGAAGTCAGGAACTGAGAATTTCACATTGCCCCGATCTCAGCCTTAGGAAGGCGACAGTGAAGAAAGCCAACAGGAAGAAAACTGATAAATTCAAACCATGATGCTGGAGGGGAACAGGAAGGCAAACAAGTGGATCTGAGCTTAAATCAAGCCAGAGTTTTCCTTAGAAACAAACAAGACCAGACTGAGGTTCTCATACTTCAGACACACCATGGGAAGCCAAGACTCCCTGAAGAAGACAGTCATGGGAGGGCATGTCAAAGGCAGAAGGTGGAAGGGAAGACCAGATGTGAGATGGATTGACTCCATAAAGGAAGCCAGAGCCTTGAACTGGGAATTGCCAAATGGAGTTTTTACAGACAGAACATTTTGGAGAGCTTTTATTCCTAGGATCGCCATAAGTCAGAGATGACTTGACGAAGCGCAGCAACAGTACGCCTAGGAAAAGGCATTTCAGCCATTCAGAACAGGGGGAGATATCCCATAAATGTCAAGGAACCACCTAATATGTGTGGGTTGGGGAAAGGGGGTGGGGCTGTTGGGGAACCCTGGAAGGCCTGAATCAGGACCTCAGCAAGGCTGGATTTGGCTCCCACACGGATGTTTCTGAGCCATGCCATATATATTCAAGACCAGGGGTCTCAAACTCAACTGACCTGGGGGCCGCTGGAAGTAGAGTCTGGGTGAGGCTGGGCCGCATCAAGTATTCCACCACCGCGGTGGGGGTGGGCCGCTCATCCCACGGCCGGCCCAGGCGCCGCCGGCACTTTGAAGGCCGCAGGACCCCCCCCCCCATCCATGCTCCGCCTGTCCTGGCAATTGGCCCTCGGGCCACGAGTTTGAGACCCCTGGTCTAGACATTCTGCACATATTCCTGATTGTATAAGCCAGTTAGTGATGTCTGACGTCGGCTTGCTTTAATTTCTATTTCCAAATATGTTCCTCATGTATGTATTTATTACATTTCCATTTCACCAGTAGCCAAGCTCTGGGTGGCTCACAGAATTTATCCACCACCATGCCACATACTAAAACATATTCCCAAACCGTTAAAGTTTAAAGCAGAATGAAACTCAAGTCTAAGCTAGCAGGGTGACGTTCCTGGACTATATAATGGGCAGTTCATCCAGATTTAAACTAATTCCCAAATTAAATCCATATATGCAGACATACACACAGACAGTGTCTATCCAACATGAAAATAATATGCAAGCAGCTAAACCGTAACCAAAAAAATAGGGAATAGTTGACAATCCGTTTATGTCGAGAAAATGCGATGGATGCCTGAGAGCTGCTGTGCCTTTAGACCCCTTGGTGTCACCACTCCTGGCCTTCACAAACATCCCTGCTTAAATAGTCAGTGTTTAGGGATTATGGACAGATAGATAACAGGCCGCTAAAGCTATTGTTACAGATTATCTAGACTTACTGCTGCAGGAGAGACAGGTGATGCATGAATGGAAAAATAAATGGAGCATGCTCCATACTTAGACACAGGAGTGATTTCAGACACGTGATTACTTACAAGGATTTCAGGCACTGATGAACATGAGCATTAATGTTGGTGGAATTGTGCTCTAATTTGGAGCATGTTTATCAGCAAAACCTCATCTGCTTGTTCAGAGAAAGCCAGCCGTGATTTGCAGCATCCTTTTAAAATAAAGGCCTGGAGCCACTCTTCCCCCAACACGCTTGCCAGCTCACCGCTGGCATGCCCATTTGCTTTTAATATTCTGGCAAGGTTCCTCTGGCCTTCTCCAGGAATCCAGAGAAGGTGGGGGGATTCCTTAGCATTTGCAGTCTTGTTCGGAAAAGATCAGAAAAGAGCAACACCTCCTGCTCTGTTCTGGGGCACAACACACCAGGGACAAGGCAAAGACTGGGATAGCCGTGGTGAGCAAGGTGGAGGAGTATCCTTGTAGGTGCCTTCAAGGTCAGCCATCATTTGTGGACAGTGAGGTGTGGTGGAAAATTGCCTGCCTGCGTGTTTCTGAGCCTGATTCAGGATGCTTGGACCACAGTACCCGTTGGAGCACTTTCCCCAACCAAAATCTGCCCAGACACTGCACTCCACATCCAAGGCCTTCACCCAAGTCCCACCTCCAAGGTAGCAGCTCCCTGATTCTGGAACCATCTCCTCTTCACCCAGAGTCAACTCTGTTGTCCTTTTGGCACCAGCTTATGATTGCTCTCCTTGCCAACTCACTTAATGGCCTTTAATGGTATATTGGGAGCATTACAGCAACATTTCTTCTCTTTTGGGTCTGAGTGATCAAACATGCTTTTAATTGTTCGGCAGGTTTTAATTTCCATTTTCAAGTTTGCATGGAATTTTGACACTGTTCACATTGTCCTTCATTTTGTATGGTGTTTTATTGTCTTGTGTAAACTGTTGCCAACTGCCCAGAAAACCTTGGATCATGGGTGATAGTGAGATAAAATGAATAGCTGTAATTAGTTTGCTTTCCTTCCACAAATCTTTTTGTGCCGATGCTGTGCTTCTCACCCTTATATCTCAGTGGCACATGCTGTGAAACTTGGAACCTTTTTAAGTATGTTCCATTTTTTAGTATGTTTCAAGCTACCAGCATTTCACAGCCAGGAGTTTTGATTCTCAGGCATGGCATATGTGACTCAGTTTGATCACTGCTGGATCTCCTGTAAAGTCTTCCTTTTCCTTCCTCCCTCAATACAGCCCGCTTTTCGTAACGTGGAAGATTGGTCGAGAAAAGCGATTGCGTGGATGTATAGGTACCTTTTCTGCCATGAACCTGCATTCAGGACTCAGGGAGTACACGCTTACTAGGTAAGAATTTGGGGGGCTTTTGGAGGGGAGTTGGTGGGGAGGGTGTTCCTGCTTTTGATTTCAGTTTTTGTTTGTGTGTGTGTGTGTTTGTCATCTAAACGTTGCAGATCTTTGTTACTCTACTAAGCTGGTCAGCTAGAATTTGTCTGCTCTGCTGGCCAATAAGATTTTCTCAGCAGTTCATACCTCGGGCTTCTTGTCCCCACTCCTTGCCAAGCAGTTCTTTGGAGTAGCCTAAAATACACCATGACTTGCGTATAACAAACCTCCTAGCGTTTTCTCCCAAAGGCAACCAACTTCAGAGTTTGATTCTGTTTCTTTCAACTTGAGGGCAAAACATGAGAGGAAATAATGATTTGTTTCTGTATGTCTAAATTTTGGACGGGCATGTTCAGACATCCTGCCACTGCAGGTATTTCCCCCTCTTCTCCAGCAGGTACTTCCAATCAGCTGCAAGTAATCCTGCACACTTCCATTATGTGTTATTCGTCAGCCCCACTTGTTCTTGAGTGGGAAGCTTCTGGACTAGGGAGTAAGTGATAGAGCCTTTCAGTGGCTCCTGAGGTTACTTGTGAATCACAGCTAGGTCAAATCAAGAGTGTTTTTCTTCAAGCCTTTCCAGTCCAGTGTAAATCAAGCATCAGTCTCTCGAGTGTGTGGGTGTGTGGAGATAAATGTAGAGATAGAGGTACAATTTTCTGAAGAACTAGATCAGAGATTCCTAACGTCTCTAACTTGTGTAGGCTCTGCAGACTGCAGTAGACAGTCCGGGGGCTGGAATCAGACACGTACTCTTTGTGTGTGGCCACACTCCTGTGAGACACAAAACTGTTTCTAAATTTAAATGAGGCAAGTTCTGGGTTGGGATTATGAGCCTGAAATGGGAACTTTTGTGGGGGCCTTTATTGTGCAGGGCAAGGCGTGGTGGTTCTGTGGAGGCATCACACCCTTTTCCTTCTCCAAAAAATTCCTGCATTGCGCAAGGAGGCAAGTCTGTTAGTTTCGAATGTCTTGGTGAACATCCCACAACTTGATCCATCCCTTTCTTCTGAGATAACTTCCTCAAAGCTGTTCGAGACCTGAACAGATCCATTTCATCTTTACTGACCTCTCCACTCCCCACTTTCCTTCCCTTCTTCCACCTTCAGCTGACTTCTCCGCATTCTGGGCAGCCCAGAAGCTCACGTGCTTGCCAGGCCTTTTAGGGTTGTTTTGTTTTATTTGTTGATCTGCAGACTTGCATGCTTTTGTGTACCCCCAGGGTCCCATTAAGGTGTCAAACTTGCTCTCATTTCTGGGTGGCCCTCTTGCTCATTCAAGCTGGTAGCAAGCAAGAGGTGGAGGTGAGCGGTGGAAGGCATGTGTGATTCATTCCTTCTCCAAGCAGCAATAGGCCAGGACATCATGACCTTTGAAACGGCAATCAGTCTCCCTTTTGTGCCTGCAACACTTCTGAAAACAATTTTCTCTTCTGTACAAGTGGATCTTGTTCTGTGATTGTTAATGACACTGCGATAAAAATTTTATAGCTCTGCCGGGATGAGGATTGGGTATTCGAAAAACTCACGCTAAAAAGGATAACACTGTTCCGCAGGGTAGCCTAAGGACCGCCAGTTTTCCATTCCTGCCCTATTATCTGTCTAAGAATTGATTTTATCGGTTTGAGTCTCTTTAATTGGAAACAAAATCAGTGTGAGCAAGGCAAGAAACAAAAACAAGTTATTCCTTTCATTTCCCTTTCATTTCTGAAAGGAAGCCTCCCACATCCAGTTATCCAGCACCTGGAAAATTTGCTCTGGTTCCTTGGAATCTGACTTATATTCACAGGTCTGGCATCTGTAAGTGCTTGTACAGTCAGATTTTTTTTCTGGTCATGGGCAAGGATATGCTGCTTCTACAAAGCCAGGAACAATTGATCATTTCATTCTTAGTGCCCTTATACTCCTTCTAATAATAGCTGTCACAACCAAGGGATGCTCATGTGCCACTAGCCGCAAGCTAATGAAATCCCACACTTACGATGGCGAAATTGCTGCTTCGGCTTCAGCTCCATCCTAAGTGGACTGTTGATGGCAAGAGACCTGCTGCTCTGTAATCAAACGGATCTGTAAGAGGCATTTTTGGAGCAGGAGTAGTGCAGATGCTGAGTCTTTATCAAAGTCTTCCATCAAGGCCCCAGCACAGGGAGTGTCGAAATATCCTTCAGACTGGTTAATGGCGGCAGTATATTTGCTCATTTGAGTTTATTTGCTGTCACACTGCACCTCCCTGAGATGCAAACCTAATAGGAACAGGTAGTGAGAACTGTAGCAGAATCGCCGTGTTGGATGAAATCAAGGGTCCTTCTGGAGCTTTCCCCCAACAGAGCGAGCGTGTTCTTCCCGTTTCAACTGAGTCCAGCTGTGGCCACATGGGTACTTCACAGAGCAGATTAAAATCACCACGCCCTCCACCCCCATGGCTTGTCCTCAGTTTCTGGCAATTGGACAGTAACTGTGAGCAGCCATGGCTAAGTTCTTTCCTCGGTGAATTGGTCTAATCCATTTTAAAGCTGTCATCCCAGCATCTTGGGGCAGTGGCTTTCATAAGCCGCCTTATTTAAGCATTACATGGAGACGTCCTTCTGTTTTGTTCTGAGGCTGCCGCAGTCCGTTTCCCTGACGAGAAGAGCTTCAGAAGAGCCCTACTCCACCATCAGGCCAGGAGCTGATCTTGTCCGGCATTCCCTTTCCAGAAGAGTAAACCAGATGCCTCGGTGGCATCATAATCATGGTGGGTGTGCAAGAACATCCTTGCACTCGTGGTCCTCGGCAGCTGCCTGTTGCCTCGAACGCTGGAGACAGCGCATCATTACGATGGCCAATAGCAGGGATCCCCGTCCTCCAGCGTCTAGCATTTATCGCTTTGCTTTATACCACCCAGAGAGCTTCGGCTGCCCTCCAGATGTGCTGGGCCACGGCTCCCAGCATCCGGCAGCCAGCTGGGAGCTGTGCGCCAGCGTTTTTAAAAACCCTGTGATACACTTGCTTTGTCTAAAGCGGCTTCAGTCTTTATCCCAGCAGAGGCAAGCACATGACTGGCTGAAGTTGTGTGAGTCATATTTCAACACATCTGGAGGGCCCAAAGTTGGAGGAGCTGCATTAATTTGCCCAGACTTTTGTTTTGTTTCGAAGGCCATGCAGATTATCTCTCGGCAAAGCTTCAGCGTCTGCATGCTTAAGAGCTCCCCTCCTTGCAACAGGCCGGTAATCTCCTATACCTCATTTGTACAAATCAGTATTACATTGGCTACTCTGCAATCCTCCAAAAAGGAAGCTGATTTTAAAAATTGGCAATTATTAATGGGTCAGCAGTCTCACATCGGAGCTCTTTATCTCTCTCGATGATGCCATCTGGGCCTAGGCACTTGGTACCTCTGAATTTGTCACTTATGGTTAAAGGTCCGTGCTTTGTTACTTCTCTCCGGCACACATCTTCAGCTACCCACCCTGAGCCATTTTTCTCTTTGGTAGTATTTATTGACATCCTTCTGATACGGGAACTGATGCAAAAATTGGTTTGGTGTATTCGGCATTTCCCTATCACCTTCAGTACCTTTTCTCCTTGCTATCTTTTTGGCTTTCCAACTGGCTTCTTAGTTCTGGTGTACTGGACTTCTGTATCAGTTTATTTTGTTTCTCTGCACAAGACTGCTCAGGGACGTGTCTTTCTCACCTCCAGCCAGCAAGGAATCTGAATGAACAAACAGTGCTGAAAGTTCAGGAGTGGCCATCCTGACATGAAACAGATCGGTTCTCCACATATCCTGGCTCTGCTCACACCTGATTGATGGCGATCTCCAGGTCTTCTGCCCCTTGAAAGAGAGAGATCTGAACTGTGCCTTCCCATGGCTTGATTCCGTTGGAATGCTCCTCTTTGTGTCTTGTCTGGTCAGTTTCACAAGCCTCTGCAGTTTGAAACACACAGATTATTTTTATGCTTCATATTCTCAGCGCTTTTAGCCATCCGTTGGGAGGCTTTTTTTTTTAAGGAGCTGCATAGCCCTGTTTCTGCTTCAGGGGCTGTCAGGAAAAAAATGTGTAACTCCAGCCTCCAAGACTGACCATGCATTTGTACTATTAAATATGCATTTTGAGATGATTTTGTTTTCGTTCACTGCATACTTTCTGACACTGAAAGAAAGTGTTTTAAACATTTTCTCACTTTTAATCACCTCTGTAAGCAAGCAGTCCAATGCCAAAACGGAACAGGTCTGATGCTTCCACTCTTCTCAGTTACATAGATGCTGAGGATTCAAAATAGCTAAAAGTAGATTTTAAGTAAGAGAAGATTGTGTTTGTGAGAAAGGTCACCGTAAAGCAAAACAAATAAATGGGCCCATGATAGTTAAGTTTGGCTCACAATTTATATCTAGTGATCTTTCAGAGTTGCCTACCTCGCTCTCTCAACCTTCGTGCCCGTGCATCAGAATGAACCTATATTCTATAAAAACAGTCTGCTTGGATTGTTTATATAGCACCATCGAGACGTTTGGTGCCTTATGGAGTAAAAATGGGAAGATCCCTGACTCTAGGAATGTAAAATCTGAAATACGACATGGAAGAAACCAGAAGAAGGGGTGGGAGTTCGAAGATTTGGGGCAGAGAGGTGGAGCTAGTTATTACTGGGGGAAGCCAGGACCAAGATGGACAGCAGCATAACTAGTATTGGTCCAAGTGATCCCAGAGCCAGGCCTGTTCACTGGTTTTTGCACCTGCTGGGAGTTTGGCTTCTCACAGGGGACAAAGGCCATCAGCTCTGCTAAAGACATGGTGGTGGGGCAAAGCCAGTGCCCTGCACGGTGACCCAGACTGTGGATCTCCCGATTTGAGTGGGAAGAGACACTGTGTTGCTGGAATACTCCAAAAGTATGACCAGCCAGCACTTGATAGGGATAGAAGCTGTTGCCACGTGCGTCATGACTTGAAAGCTGGGAGCAGCCCTGGAAGCCCGTACTCACTGCGCACCCTCTTCAGCGCTGGTGGAGTTCGGTTACAGAAAACGGTGTTGGTGGATGCTCGCTTCGATGGTGCTAAAAGAAGGACGCACAGGCGCCGGATCTATGAGGAAGTGCTGGATGTGATGACCAGATGGAATCACCACTTGCAGGGGTCCATGTTGCCGAAGGGCAGTTGCCCTGCTTTTGGGATTCTAGGAGGCTGATGGGGGAAAAAGGGCTCTGGCTACATGGATGCTTAGAAACATAGAAACAGAGCGAGTCAGAAGGGGCCTCCCGGGCCATCTAGTCTGACCTCCAGCACCAGCCGGCTCTGCTCACGACATGCCCACCATGTGGACGTCCAGCCTATCCTTGAACACCCGCACCGATGGGGCCTCAATGACCTCTCATGGAAGCCCATTCCACACCCTCGGGGTCCAAACTGGCAGGAGGTGCTTGGTCTGCTCTAGCCAGTCTCTGTACTGTGTTCACTCTTTTCCCTGCTTAGCTTCAGTGCCAGTGCAACAGTAAACCAAGGCTGTGTCCGCAAGGCTTTGCCTTCGGATGGCGAGGCCTCACAAAGGGGGCACCAAGCTGAGAATAAGCCAGAAGGACAATCAGTGGTTTGCTTCTGATTTTCAGGCCGCAGCTCGCAGGTCCCCAGCGCTGGATCCACGCTGCTCGGTAGTGATTCAGGTTGCCCAAAGCCCAGGGCTTTTCCCTCAAAGAGAAACCCTTGAAATTTTTTAACATCATTTCCCCAGGCCTGTAAACAGGTGGCTTTTTATGCATTAGCACCATCGTTATGCAAGGACCACAAGTCGCAACAAATAAAATCCATGGATTTCATATTAATCCTGTGTGTTGCAACAGGGCCTGTGTATTTGGAGAGCAGATGCAAAACTGATTTGGAGGCAGTTGGGCAAAGTAATCATTATGATCATTGTTGGTCAACCGCACTATCATAATCTAAATCAGGGCAGCCAGCGTGCCGCTCGGTGTATTAAATACGTTTTTCATGTTTTTGCTACTAATCATCTCTAGTCAACAGAAGGATTAATGTGACTCACCCCATAGGAGGAGATGCTTATTCCTCCTTATTCTGACTTGGCCTGTGGCAGAGTGTGAACGGAGAAGGTGATTTGGGGAGACAAGTTGAGCAGAGGTGGTGGGCAATGAAGGACGTTGCTAATTATTAGAAAGCTCTGTTTTTGCAGCAGATCTCCTGTAGCTTAAGGAGTTCCATTTTCCTTTCGCTCCTCCTCTGCCTGCATTTGAAATGTTGATGTGTCTCCCATTTCCTGCTATATTAAAAAGAAACCCTACCTCAAAATCTCCTAGCATCAGGAAGACGTATCCCACAGAGCTGAAAGAAAACTTTCTGGTTTTGAATTAGAGTTCCTTCTTTCTCGTGACTAAATACCTGAACTGGCCTTTCCCTTTCACTGAAACAAATATTTTTTCTTATTGCTTTACTATTTATTTATTTAGAATTTTTGTATGCCATCCCCTTGCTATATAGCCTCGGGATGGCTCACATAAATAAACAAACAATACAAATACAGTTAAAACCCGGAAACACCCTGGCTGCACAATTAAAACCTATAAATATTAAACACTGTTAAAATATTGTTTGAATAAAAAGGTCTTAGCCTGGTGCCGAAAAAACAAATAACGACGGCGCCAGGCGGAGCTCTCTGGGGAGCGCATTCCACAGGTGGGGTGCCACCGCAGAGAAGGCCCTTCTCCGGGTACTCACCCTCCTAATATCCTTCACAGAGGGCTCCTGGAGAAGGGCCTCTGCTGCCCATCCCAAGGGGCGGGAGGGCAAATATGGAGGCAGGCATTCCTTTAGGTATCCAGGTCCCAAGCCGTTGAGGGCTTTACTATGTGTGAGATGTTTGTGTATCCATACATGGGCAGCTTTCATGATTTAAACTGTAAACGCTCCTAATTGCTCTGGATCTTCTCATGCTGCAGAATGAAATTGGGGGTGGGGGTTAGGATCTGGTGGAACGGGGAATGCCTGTTCAGGCAACAGGCAGAAGATCACATTTTTGTTAAAACCCACCTGCTGTCAGACTAGGCTGAGAATTTTTTGTAACTGGGGGCGTGCCAGTCTGGTTCATTGAGATCACTTAACTGACCTCCCCACCAAATTCTATTTCTGCAGTTTTGCAAACGGGGAGACAGAAGTGATTTCTTGCGTCTTTGCATCGCACTTTTGCTAATCAGTGTGGCAAACCTGTGGCTGTCCAAATGAGCTTGGACTGCAGCTTCCTGCCATGAGCTGGAATCAGATAATCTCTGGAAGACCACAAGCTTCTGTCCCTTTTGTATACATCTGAGCAGAGGTCTCCGTATCCTCAGGCAAATTCATGACACCTAGGAGTGCATGCTTACAAGAAAGTGTGAGATGAGGCATGGGTTCAAGTTGTTAGTCACTAGTTTTTTCAAAAAAGGTTCAGATCATGCTGTGCTCTAGCTTTCTGTAAGACACCTTTCCGCACTCCAGAGGAAGCCCATGCAGATAAATCACCTGAAAAAAAGCCAGCGCTGTATGGATGGACTATTTGTGGCTTGTTTTCCCTTTGCAGGACCCATAACTCACTTGCCCTGTACCTTGCCAGGAAAATGGGTAATATCTGGCTCGAAGGAGCAGATACCTCAGTCTCAAGGCAGCTTCACCTATTCTCATGACCAGCTTTGCTTATTTTCGGTAAGCTCCTGGTGGCCGAAGAGCACACTGTGGTAGACATCCCAGTGCTTTCTCCAGAAGGTGCTTTCAGGTATGGCAGGCAAGATGGATGCGGTGTTCACCCTCAGACTAGGAAAAAAAGGACCTCTGTGGAAACCCTTGATAGTCTTCCGTGTGTGGCTGATGGGCTGGAGCCCAAATCGGCCTGTGACACCTGTTCAACTGGAGCAAATGCTGAAGTTACCCAGTGCTGTGCCGCTGCCCGTTTGTGCCCCGTGCTGACTAGCACAAAGCTGGCACTGATGCCAGTTTAATTTGTGATTTATTGTGACACAGCAGGTTGCCTGATAGGGGGCGATTTATGTGGCTTAGAGGTATTACGCTTTGAGCCGGAACGCAGAAGCTGAAGAAATACTTTGCGTCCCTCGTTAATAATGGACACCTTTTTTAGTGCTTTCCGTCACTCATGGACAGCATTGCTTTCCCCCTCCCTTTTTGGACTGATCTTCATCATTCTGGTGTTTGCGCTGCTAGCTTCAAATATCCAGACCAGCGGTGGCTCTCTTCCCCCCACCGCTGATCAAAATGGCAAAGCGCTTTGTGCGTGTTCTGAAGTCGTAACTGGTGTGGAGCTGGTCACTCCGCTTTGTTTCCGCTGGATGATGGGATGCAGCTGACTCCCTGCCACCAAGTTTACTCTGCAGCCGGGACAGCCAGGAATCTTAACCGCTCTTCCCGAGATCCCATCACGAACCAGCAGACCACACGCTCCAAGGTCTCCGTGCACTGGCCGTGTTGCTCGTTCTCCATAGCCCAAACGCCAGCGTCCAGGCTCCGGCTTCCCATGCACGGACCCCCACTTGCAGATCGGGATTCTATCTTGCCGGGCTTTCTCCGTCGTTAGATTTGAGGAAGGGCTCTGGCTAGGAAGTCTCCCCGGAGGCTGCCCTCTCACAGGATCACCGGTAGCTTTTATTGGCTCCTGTGCTTTTGACTTTTGGAATGCCGGCACTCGCCTATGCTATAAAAAGGGAAAAGGAAAAGAAGGATATCTAGCTGCTTTTAAAGGCCCAGGAGCAGGCCAATTATTTCCCTGTAAATGAGCAAACTTCCACTGAGAAAAGGTCGTGAGCTGACTGGGCCACCTCGCATCTGTTTGAATGCATTATCTTCCAGGCCGCTGTGCTGAAACTCATGCTGCTGGTTACGTGTTCCGGAGATACGGCCTCCGAATGAGCACCAGCACAGCACCA